TAAAAGACACATTGCCGTTAATCCCCCTCAAAATGCACCCCGCCCTTTGAACACACTTATCCCATTGTTCTTGCCACTTTCTTTTTTTTAGAGATTTTTACTGGGGAATTGGGGGATGGGAACAGTGCTGGGGAATTGGGGGAAGGGGAACAGACAAGTTGCTGTCGTTTTGCTCTTCAGTCTAGTTGCGGAGGACGTTGCCTCACTGGCCCAAGTTGGCACCATTATTGCGCTCTTCCCGGGCGAGGCAGATCAGTTGCTGGCTTCTGGACGGCCGCTCACGCTGGCTGCTGGCTACACACGATAGCCCATGGCAACCCACTGCCACAGGGGCTGCAGCCTACGCCGTCTCGGGCGACTCATGGCAGCCCAGCTCCAGGTCGAGCTGTTGTTCAGCATCTTAGCTGTGGAGGGCAGTGTCACTGGCCCTCATATGTGGGATCCGAACCGGGGCCCTCTGGCGTCCCAAGCCAGCTCTTAACCATTGCGCCACTCAGCTGGCCCCCTTGCCACTTTCTGAAGCAGTTCTGAGAATCGTCTTTCATGAGTGTCTTTAGGTGGGCAGTCACGGCTGCATTGATGTCCTTGTGTACAGTGCTTCTGCGGACATTCTAATGCATGAGTTTTTAATATTCGTATACATTTCTGTGGAGGAAATGCTGAATCTTAGGGTATGCGTATGTTCAGCTTTAATAGATACCAGCGGACAGTTTTCCAAAGTGACTGTACCAATTGTTTGTGCTATTTTAAAGTAACCCTTTCTTTTTTGTCATAGCCACATTTGTAAAGATTATACCTCTAGTTTAAAATGAAACAGGCAGATTTACAAAGCAATTATGTGAGAAGATAGGAAATTATATAAGAAGTTTAAATACTCTTGCTTTTCATAGAATATATATCACATGGACTAAGGGGGAACACTAGCGATTGACCGTACTCACTTATTTTGATTTCTAACTATGCCTTAGATCCTTGGAAGGGAGGGAGCCATCAGATCTAATAGTTTTATGAACATCCTCAAGTTCCCATTGATAATTCAGACTCACTCAGATGCACAAAGTCCATGGAATCTTCTGAAGTGCTCCTGACCATCAGGCCCAGCTGGTTTTCTTTGGGGTACTGAGGTGTTGGGTAGGCCACCAATTTTCAACTCTGGAGGTTGGAAAGAAGTGGGAGCCCCTTGGCCAATTTCCTGGGCTGGGACAGGCAGAGTTGGCAACACAGGACCATTGTGTGAGACTGCTTCACTTCCAGAGACTCTCTGAAGGCTCATTCCACACACACTGAGAACCAATGGTGAGGGAGACATTTCACCCTGGTCCATCTTAAGGGGAGAAGCCTACCAAATACCCCGAGAAAAAACTGACTTCATCAGGAATCTCACTCCCTTCTGAATGTATTCTGCCCTCACCAAGTCCCTCCTCTTACCGACTAAGTGGTCTCAGACCTCCACATTGCTGCATTAATGAGTTTTAAACTTATTCACAATCTGGTGTAAATAAAAGAGTGATGAATCTAGTTTCTAGTTTACACTTTGTGCTGGCAAAGTTGTTATGGGAATGGTAGAAATTCAGACAGCAAAAAAGAAGATAATGAAGAAAGATTTCTTTAAAAACATTTGGAGCAGGGAATCTTTCTGGAATCCTCCCCAGGTTACCATCAAGAAAACGTCTCTCCTGCTGAAGCCCACAGCTGGCTCTAAGAGCGTGCGTGTGAACTTGCTGAATCGGACTGGTCCACACCTTCACTTCTGCTGGGAAGAGTACTTGTTTTATTAATGGAACCTCCCCAACTGTAGCCACATCATTCTAGTGCAGTCTGCCTATCATGGTATTCCAGCACTTGGTCACTGTTAATTGACTTGGGTTCTATGACAAAGATGAGCCAAATATAACTCTTCCTTGAATTTTTTTAAGCTGGAAAAAATGGGAAAGAAACAAGGAGTGGAGTAAGGGTTCTGAGTTAGAGTAAGTAAGGTTCAGGAGCTTCCAATACTCTCTTTCTTTGGATTTCACATAAAAGGTACAAAACTATACCAAAAACCCTTTATAAGAATCTTTATGAGAATCAAGGTTCTGGCAGAACACATGGCACACTCATATGGATAACTGAGGAGGATTTCAGGAAAAGAAAACCTATAAAAGCATGGGCCAAGTTAAAGAAAATCAACAAATCGTGGTGAAGCAGCCCCAGGTAGAAGCATGGATGTACCAGCACCCATAAGGCCTGATGCAGCAAGAAGAGACAACTGTCATGAAACAGAGCTTTAGCAATAGCCAGAGCTGTAGTTTAAGAGGCAGCAGCTCAAAAGAAACTGTGACTTCCAGTAGAGAAATGCAGCCGATTCCAACCCACAGCTGAAAGGATAAAAAATGAGGGAATGAATTCCCTAATCATTCTCTCTCTCTCTCCTACTCTGTTATCTCTGCAGTGACTTCAGCTGGCCAAAAACAACTGGTGATGTTGATATAGTCCATGGAGGTCAGCCTTCCCGCACTCAGAACCAATGGTAAATAATTAGTATATAGCCTCTTATAATAAAGTCATCAAATATACAAAATAGAGGTTGTTGAAGGAACTCAAGTAGCACCTGGAGGCTTTATTAGAAATAAATGACAGAGATTTATTCAAGGACCTTGGAGTTTGCAAACTGGGGACACAGCTTGACAAAACCCCCAAAGTATTCCAAAGAAGAAAGAAAAGTTAAAAGTTTTTACAATAAAAAGTACATTCTTTAGAATGATCAGGTCTGTATTCTTAGCCCTAGATTGCTCCAGGACGGTTATCAGTCAGATGTCAGACAGTCAGGATAATGAGTGTGGGAGGTCTGGTCACGTCCCGGTGGTCTGGATAATAGATGTCAGGAGGCCTGAAAACACGAGTCCTTCAGGGGATTATTAGAGGGTAACCTGAAGATTCAGATGTATATCCAGGCATTCATGCAGGACTTGAAAGTTTCAAAAAAGTTAATTTCCCAGGCTAGTTAGAACAAGAATGGAGTCTTTCCTCATGCCTCAACCTTCATAATGTAAATAATTTTAACAACTTGGTTAAAATGACTCCATTTTATATATTCTCTGTCTTCGCTCTTTGCTCAAGGTAGAACAATCCACCCTATGTTTCAAATTGAAGAGTACCAGCAAGGTTTTTCACTCACCCACTTTCCAGTCAGCCCTTCTCAAAATGAAAGACTCCTCCACTTTTCACAAACTCTATTGCAGCAATTTTAATTGGGAGAACAGCCAGCTTTGATGGAGCAATAAATATCTTCTTATCGTTATCACTGTGGTTAAGTTATTTATTAAGCATGGACAATATCCATTGTGATATCTAGTTATAAGGAGATCAGTGGGGAAAACAATCAGAAAAACAGATCATTTCAATAGTAAGTTGGCAATTATGTTTACAGCAAGAGGAAAAAGAATGAATGCAGCTTTGGGATGTGTGGGAGTGTTTCATGGAAAGGAAATCAAAGGTAGTTTCCTGAGGGAGATGACAAACTGCATTCAAGTGATGGTTTTGTCACTTGCTATTCCTTGGGGAAGTCAGTTCAGCTCTGAGATAGTCAAATGAGATGACACATATATGAGTATTTGCCCATAATTCATTGAAAATTTAATAAACTGGTCCTTCACTATAGATGGTTTGAGAAGCATTGCTCTAGATCACAGTGCCTAAACACCTTCCATACTCTTGTTTCTCTCTGCCTGAACCACCTCCCTCCTCCTTGCTTCCTCAATTATTGTTCTTTGATTTTCCACTTAGATGCTTCTTCCTCTTTCTGGCTTCCTATGACTTGTCAGAATTGGATATTGGTATTTTTAAGGTCTCTCTTAACTCTAAGAGGAAGCAGCACTCATGAAATACCATGCACCAAACATTGATGTGCCTCCGTATAATATACATTATTTTGTTTAACTCTCCTGAAAAATTTTAGGATGATAATATTTTTATTATTCCAATTTTCTAGTCAAGGGAGGGACAGAACTGAGTCTACACACTTATTAAGGAGTAAGGTCAGATTTCAAATCTCTGTCTGCTTAATCCCAAAATCTTAACTAAAGAGCTGCCTCTCATTCAACATCCCATGAGCCCATGATTATGAAATTATTCAGCATTTGCAATAAAGCAATCACTTGGGGGTTTTATAGAGCTGCCAAATTGTTAGTAACTTGGTTCATATTCCTTCCTTTAGAGCAAGAAGATATTAACCTTGAATCAAGGAAATGGTTACATTTCCCTGAATATCTCTGCTTACCTTTTATTACCATAAAACACCTGATCACAGGGAAAGTTTTTTATATCAGGGAAATAATAATAATCACTGTTGTATTAGTGCAATGTACTAAACACATGTCTATAATAACAAATTTATAATAATTTGGTGGTCTAAATGTTGTTACTTCTTTTTAACAATTGAGCATCATATAGGTTAAGAAACTTCTCCATGTTTGCAGAGTTTATAAGTATTGGAGCTAGAAATTAAATTCAGACCCTCTGACTCTAATCCTGTGTTTTTTTCAAATATGCCACTTAGGTGGTGTGAATTAACAGAAAATATGTATGTTGGTCTCTGTCCCTAGTTCCTGCACAGAGCTCCTAAAACCCTTACAATTTCAAAAGAGCTAAGAGCAGTAGGAGCATCTTTGGTTCTAGTATTATGTCTTTGACCCTGGTTCCTGACACAAAGTTCCTACACCCCTTGGAATTTCCTGGGGGAAATGCCCTTGGGGTGCTTGCTCAAAAACATGGATCATTATAAGTCCCTAGGATACTGTAGTCAACAACTGGACCCTGTGGCTCGGGGATACCCCCCTTGCCTCAGAGCTGTTGCTGCCACTGCCCTCCTGGTTAAGGTCACAGAGAAGACTGTTGTGGGAACGCTCTCCTGAATTTGCATCACACCCAGCTTCTTTCAGTCAGCCGTTTTACTTCCTATGAAATGCTTTTGTTAACCACTTTCCATATAACCCTCTCACATTGTAACAACCTTAATCCAGCTACTTTTCTTCCTTCGGAGACTGAGGATGCCCCTCATGACTACCTGACATTAACAGATCACCTCTTGACTCCTCATGACGATTTGCAGGAAACTCCTTTGGGTAAAGCTGATTTCTCATGGCTTACTGATGGTTCCTCGTACTTAAGTAATGACTATGGTAAGTACTGTGCTGGTTTTGCTGTTGTAACTCCTTCTGAAGTCATTAAGGCAGCACCTTTGCCTCTGGCCACTTCAGCACAGCAGGATGAATTGTATACCCTTGCCCTCGCTTGCATTTTAGCAAAGGATAAAGCTGTCAACATTTACACTGACAGCAGATATGCCTTCGAAGTGGCTCACGTCTTTGGAATGTATGGAAACAACGTGGTTTCCTCACCTCCAACAGAGATAAAATTAAAAATGGTCCATATGTACAGAAATTATTGGACGCTATACTTTTACCTGATGCCTCAGCCATTATTAAGATCCTAGGGCATTCTAAACTTGACTCCCTGAAGGCCAAAGGAAATCACCTACCAGACATTTCTACTAAAAATGGTGCCCTTAAAGGCATCAGTAGTAGTCAAACCTCTGTCATGGTCCAGAGAGAAGCTTCTCCAGCTGATAATTTAGAAAAACTGGCCAGAGAAGCCCAACAATCTGCTTCTGAAGAGGAAAAACATAACTGGAAATCTAACAATTGCTGGTTTAATAAGGAAAAGAGACTGTGGTTCAGACCAAATAACAACCCAGTCCTACCAGAAAGTCTAAAATTCCTACTCTTAACCACTGTACATGTGTTGAACCATTGGTCAACTGACAAAATGGTAGCTTTCATGCACCAGTATTGGTGGGGAAATATTAATAAAGCTGCAAAAAGTGCCTGCCTCAGGTGTCCCACCTGTCCAAAGTATAACTCAGGGAAGCCTATTCACACTGCCCCTGGACATTTTAAATTGCCAAATGGACCATTTGAGGTCTAGTAACTAAACTTTATATAGCTTCTGCCATCTCATGGATACAAATATGTTTTGGTTATGATATGTATGTTTTCTCAGTGGACTAAAGCTTTCCCTTGCAGACAGGCTAATGCACCAGCAGTGGCTAAAGTAGTGTTAGAGAAGATTATTCCTACTTGGGGAACTCCTCTTGAACTCCACAGTGATCGACGAACCCATTTCACTTGGTCAGGTGCTAAAGCAAGTTTGTGCTGTTTGGCCAATCCTACAACATTTTCACTGTGCCTACCATCCTCAATCCTCAGGATTGGTTGAATGCAGTAATGGCATCATTAAGACTTAATTGGCAAAATTTATGGAAACTCTTCAAATACCTTGGCCAAAAGCATTGACATTAGTCCTTTTAAACCTCAGATCTACTCCTTTTGGGACTCATAAGCTCTCACCTTTTGACATAATTACAGGATGCCCTATGCACCTGGCCCCTGCCTCTCTCGATCCACAGTTGGTGAAATGAGACATACTTCAGTATTGTAAAGGTTTAATTGAGTCTATCGACAAAAATCATGCCTTAGTCAAACAATCACCATGCCCTCCAGGGAAATGAAAAAGTAAAATTTCATACTTTAAAACCTGGAGATTTTGTTTATTGCGAAGACACCTAAAAAAGGATTCCCTCCAGCCACGCTGGAAGGGCCCTTACCAAGTACTGTTGACAAACCCCTGTGCTGTTAAACTACAGGGAGTAGACTCTTGGATACACATGTCACACTTAAAGAAGGCACCAAACCCTGGCTGGAAAAGTACACAGCCTGGTAACCTGAAACTAAAACTGCCAAGATTTAAAACAGGTGACCTCTGAGGAGTTTGAGTTCCTGACTCACGCCTGCCACATAAGCTGTTTTGCTTTGTTCTAATTCTCTCTTTTTAACTTTGATCTGTTTAAGCTCTGCTTCTGATGCTGGTCAACACTGGACGCCAGCTGTTTTCCCGATCCATGCACTCTTTCCCATGATGATACCCAAAAGAGGCCCTTCTGACATTGAGGGACGAAAGGATGAGCAGATATCTGGGGGCAAGAGGCTGGACACTGGAAACCTGGGACTAGAAGACCTGACTGTTGATCAATGATCTTTTAGAGGAAAGATCTTAATCAAGAGGGAGGAATGATAAAGTGAACTGGCATTTTGTGATGCTTGACTATAGAGTTGGGAAGACTGTGGGTGCAGTTGGGCCCCTTGTTAACTCTGTGACCCTGATTCCATGTTTAACTTTGTGATACCTTCCTGGGGGAGGGATGATATAAACAGAAAGAGCCATCTTGAAAAAGCTCTCTCTCAGTTTCTCCATGTGGGTGCCGGTAGGAGCGTGGGGTTAAGAGTTATGCGTGGGCAGTCGGTAGGGACCCGCCCCCCCAACAGAGCAGTGCAGTTTCTCACACTGCACTGCAGAAGTTTGTTTCTTTTTTTTTTTACTTTCTCAGAATAAACCCTTTTCTTTGGTGAAAAAAAAAAGTTGTGGGTAACTTGAGGACTTACTGCTTGTGAATAGCATTCAAAGTGGTGGTGGTGGGGGGTAGTCTTATGGGACTGAGCCCTTAACCTGTGGGGTCTGACTCTATCTCCAGGTAGATAGTGTCAGAATTACGTTAAGTTGCAGGACACACAGCTCGTGTCACAGAGAATTGCTTGGTGTAGGAAAAAAAAAACCTGCTGTCAAAGTGTGACAGTAAAGGAGACACACAGGGGGAGTGTAGGTTTTCTAAACAGATGGTGTAAAAGAACCACTTCTTTCCTCACACATGCACACTCTCCTCAGACCAAAAGTCACTACTGGATACCTCAAATGATATTATTTCAAGCAACTGTTTGTGGCAATTTGTTATGCAGCAAATCAATACACTTTGGGAAATTACCTGGAAATCACTATCTTTTATATTGATTATTTCTTTTTCTATGTCTTATAAATAATGTTGGTGACGTGTGTCCACCTAAAAACTATTTCCTCTGTAAAAATTGTGGTGGTTTGTAGTTTCCTACAAACTATTTGCCCTATAGCATATAAAAATCATACTTAAACTTTCTATGGAATTTTAAGGATCATAGTAATGCATCCTTGATTGCAATCATTTCATGCAATACTACATTTCTTGTGACTACAATCAGAGTCTGATTATTTTGGGAACCCTAGCACGTAGCATAATGTTTCCCATATGATAGAATCTTCACAAATATGTTTTATTCAATCAGTGAAGAAAGGTCTATGTTTATTTAGTTTGTTTATACAAACAAAAATTCAGAGTCTCTATTAGCCAACATGATCTTGTCCCTATATTTTATCATAACCAGATAACTATAATTTTACTGAGCGATCACCATGATTCCTTGGGTTTAAACATTTTGGTACTTATATTAACTTGGTTTTTGCCCCCAGCTAGTCAAACAATTCTAGCTGCAACAGTCACCAGTGATGCTGCTTGAGTAAAGCATTCAGCAGTGTAAACTAGTCATTGCCAAGCATTATACTGAATACCCCCTAGATTTCTTATTGTATTCATCTTTATTAAACCACAATCATGGTTTCCTGAGTTCACCAGGGGTCCCCTTGCTTATCACTGTGGCTGCTGAGTGAGCTTGGGGTTCCCTGGCTGGAAGCACCAGGAAAACTGAGGTGACAGCCCCACCGTTCCTCCAGTCCCAGTGCATGTGCTCCCTAGTGAGCAGGGGGCTCTTGCCTCACCTGGGCTGAGAAAGCATGGCCTGTATTCTGCCTGTCCTGGGAAATGCCTGCTTTCTTGATGTCCCTTGCCTCTGTAGGCATCAGCAGTCCTGTGTGAAAAAAGACATTTGGTTTTTCCTGAGAAATTAATTCACTTCCCCTTTTCTGCTTGCATGCATGAGACACTCCATTGAGATGGGGAAGTTGTGGTTACACATTAAATTGACAGGACACGGGCAAATGAACTCTTATCCATCATACCTTGGAAGCCCACATGAGCATCCTTATTATGTGCAAGGTAATGTTGAGGTCACTAGTTGGAGAGCAGAGACTTATAATTCTGTGAAGTCAAATGGACTTGGGAGGAAAGAGGAGAGACACCTGCCAAAGAGGAGAAAGAAGAATCCAGCATGAATGTTTTCTGTACTTTGCTTGTCAAGTTCATGCTCTCAGGGAAGGAGGTTAGTTTGCTGAGAAGGGATGAGAAGTCCTCAAGCTAGAACAGTTTTGCCAAAGGGTGGAAAGCAAACCCTTGGACACATAGAAGATGCTTGTATGTAGTACAGGGATAATATTATATATGAAATCAAAATACTAATCATGTTCCCATGGATATCACTGCTTAGAATGAGGTTATGTTTTTATTTATTTATTTTTAAGATTTTTTTAATTGGGGAATTGGGGGATGGGAACAGTGCTGGGGAATTGGGGGAAGGGGAGCAGACAAGTTGCTGTCATTTTGTTCTTCAGTCTAGTCGTGGAGGACGTTGCCTCACTGGCCCAAGTTGGCACCATCATTGCGCTCTTCCCAGGCAAGGCACATCAGTCGCCGGCTTCTGGATGGCCGCTCACAGCGGCTGCTGGCCGCTCAAGCTGGCTGCTGGCTACACACGGTAGCCCATGGCAACCCACTGCCACAGGGGCTGCAGCCTATGCCGTCGCTGGCAACTCACGGCAGCGCAGCTCCAGGTTGAGCTGTTGTTCAGCATCTTAGCTGTGGAGGGCAGTGTAACTAGCCCTCATATGTGGGATCCGAACCGGGTCTCTGTGGCATCCCAAGCCAGTTCTTAACCATCGCGCCACTCGGCCGGCCCCCAAAGTTATGTTTTTAAAGGGATTGCATTAACAAAACAAAACAAACAACAAAAAACGCAAAGAAGAACAAAGGGGTATATGTAGATCTGACAAAAATCCAGGAGGAGGAATGAAGGTTAATGAAGGCTGGGAAACACAGAGGCCAGACTAACTCTACTGTCTCCCCTAGCCCGTGTCCTCCAGGGGAATTCATGTCTGTCACCTGCGTAATTGTAGCACTTTGTACACTAAGTTTTGCAGTGGTTTGCTATGCAGCAATAGGTCACTTGCCCTCAAGAAGCTAAATATATAGAGAAGGATCAGCCAAGAAGGCAAACAAACTAACAATATCCCATGAGGAGAAAGGCTAGGCAAAATACGTACCACTCCTAGAATCTATGCAGACCTCTCCCCCACTCCCAGAAAAACGAAGCCTGTACTTAACTAAAAGAAACGACAGAGAAGTACAGCATAGGGAATAGAGTCAATGGTGTTGTACTAGCCATGCATGGTGTCAGAGGGGCAGTAGACTTGTTGGGGTTTTCACTTTGGGAGGGGTGTAAATGTATAGTCATTATGTTGTTTTGTACACCTAAAACGAATAAAAAAATGCAAAAAAATATTTTAAAAGAGAAAGAAACAAATGACAGATAACACCCTCTGACACTCACAAAATACCTTTAAAAAAAAAAACCGATCGGGTTCTCAAGGCGACAAGCACTCACTTTCCTGCAAATTTATTAGGATCAATCCCAGTTTTCAGAGAGTCAATAAGAAGGAAAGAAAGACAGTCAGAGACTTAGAGTCATTACAAAAGGAAATCTTTCATGCGGCTGAGAACAAAGTCACTTCTGCTTTTACATAGCTGCTACTGAATTACAAGATATGTATATGTCATGTTCCCACACAGATTCGGCCACAATGATAGCAGAGGTCATGTTCTTGTGTGGGGTATAGTTGGTTTGATTACTCACAATGTCTTGTATAGTGTTCTGCTCCTAGCAGGCTCGAAATAATCCATAAGTTGATTGACCGTCATGGTTAACTGACTCATCTTTTAATCATGTGGATCACAAGATCAGCTGTGTCTAACAGAAATATAATACAAGCTTCATATAGATTTTTAAATTTTCTAGTAGCCATATTTTAAAAAGTAAAAAAGAAAATGGGAAATTAATCTCTATATTTTATTTAACCTAATATATTGAGAATATTATCTTTTCAACATGTAATTAATATAAACCATCATGATTAAGATATTTTTATTTTTATTTCATTCTAAGTCTTCGAAATTTGGTGTATATTTTACACTTGTTGCACACATCAGTACATATCAGCCACATTTCAAGGGCTCAGTGGCCACATTGGTTAGTGGCTATTATGCTGGACAGCACAGACCCCAACTCACAATACACTGATTGCTGCTGAGGTCCTCTCATAAATAGTCTTCTCATGTTGAAATTTCACAATTATTACTTTTCGTTTAAAAATGGTTTGGCAAATGATTTTGTTTTCTTTCATTTAGCTTTATAACACACCTTAGCAAAAGCCAAGATTTTCTTCATAAGGAGAAATGTGTTTTAAAAGAATTAAAATAAAATCACTATATATTCATAGATATTTCATTTCCAAGAAACTCTTAGTAAGAAGGCACCATGGGATGATCACCTCATAAGTTATATAAATGCCTAATCACTATGCTGTACACCTGAAACTAATATAATACCTTTGAAAGTAAAATTCAAATTTTCAGAAGACTTGGAAAATAAGAGTTTGACAAAATTTTATGCATACTTAGCTCTTACACTGTTCTCCTGGAGAAGAAACAAATTCACTGAATAGTTATTTCTAAAATATCTTTCAGATATGCTTTTTGTGTTAAACAACGTAAATATGATCAGTCCACTCAAATTACTCCCATAGGCCGGACAGTCGAACAGGTTATATGGCAAACAAAGTAGATAGTAGAAGAATATCAAGATCTTCATCATGTTTCACACTCAACAATCAGCTGCCACTTCAAGACATTAAAGTATCTCTATCTCTGCTGTATATCATGTCGAAAAAAGGTGCTTAAAAAGTTAGTCATTGAGTGATTTTCATATTTGTGCTTATTTTCTAAATAAAATTTGAACCAAAGCAAACAAATAGCAATTAGACTGAGGCTGGCTTACACAGCTCTACCTTAGCCTCTACCTCAGAGGGGTACCCCAACACCCTGGGCAGAAGCTAAACTCAGCAATGAATTACCTGACATTTGCCCTGTGGATTAGGTGGCTTCGTGCCAATGTTCTTTAACCCAGGCTCCTCTGTGACTGAGGAAGGCCATGGTGGCTACA